CTGATCTGGTACAGGCTGGTTGTTGTACTTCCACTACTGCCCTCTGTCTGAGGCTGCCCTCTGTCTGATCTGGTACAGGCTGGTTGTTGTACTTCCACTACTGCCCTCTGTCTGATCTGGTACAGGCTGGTTGTTGTACTTCCACTACTGCCCTCTGTCTGATCTGGTACAGGCTGGTTGTTGTACTTCCACTACTGCCCTCTGTCTGATCTGGTACAGGCTGGTTGTTGTACTTCCACTACTGCCCTCTGTCTGATCTGGTACAGGCTGGTTGTTGTACTTCCACTACTGCCCTCTGTCTGATCTGGTACAGGCTGGTTGTTGTACTTCCACTACTGCCCTCTGTCTGATCTGGTACAGGCTGGTTGTTGTACTTCCACTACTGCCCTCTGTCTGATCTGGTACAGGCTGGTTGTTGTACTTCCACTACTGCCCTCTGTCTGATCTGGTACAGGCTGGTTGTTGTACTTCCACTACTGCCCTCTGTCTGATCTGGTACAGGCTGGTTGTTGTACTTCCACTACTGCCCTCTGTCTGATCTGGTACAGGCTGGTTGTTGTACTTGTGAGACTGGTGAGGTGACATTAAAACTGTTCATTCACTCACTCTGGTCAATTATGTAAGGTCCTTCTTGAAGGTTGAAGTGAAATTAACACTAGTGTTGGGAATTAGTTAAAATCTCATAATTGATGATTTGTTCAGTACAACCGATCAATCATCGAAAATAATTGGTTAGCATCATTTATTAAATTTTTCTGTTATGTTTGTTAATTGACAAAAGTTTGTTTGGTTTTTTTACAGATTGCAAAAAATGCATTTGCAAATTTCACATCTTTAAAGGATTACTAGTATGTTAGGAACTTTAATTTCCTGGAGTCTTTCAGATAATTCAATCATGACTTGGCACGAGCTCATAGAGCTTATGAAATATCAGAGACCATATACCAGTATATGGTCTCTGGAAATATAAATTTAAGGACACAGACGAAGCCAACCTTGTGCTAAATATTGTTAATGCAAACAAGTGTTCCAAAACTGTTTGTGTTCGATTATGAGAAAACATGATCGATTAATTGGTCGTTTAGCCACGGCGACCACCATTCTTCCATTATTTCAATTAATCGGACCACCACTAATTAACACCATGCAGAAAGATATTTGCAGGCTGAAAATTTAATTTATAATTAATATGGAACGTGCTGCAACGCAGGTGTAGCATCATTTGTAATCTCAGAGAGTTGAGGTGGCACTTACCCTTGCTCCAAGGCTGTACTGAATGCTGAGCCCATGGATTTTTTGTAAATCTATCCCTCGCAAGTCTAGATAAGCGGACAGTACATCAAGGAACCCAGTCTGTTGTTTATTATATTTTAGAAATTATCATTTAAACTATTAATTTTTACTTTAGAGACTTGTGCAAGTCCAAGGCGGTACTTTGTTCCACTAGATACAGCATGTATGCACCACAACCGATGTGCACTGAGGAGCCTTCTGGAGGAATCTACAGTCATGTGACTGAGATCCATGCCAAATCTTGATTCTTAATGTATATTCCAGACATTTGTCGACACAGTTTTCCTTCATATTCATACACGAGATGCAAAATTTTATCAAAACTTTAATCTTTGTTAATTAAAGATCTGTGACATATAACAGCTGCCACTGAGAAATTGGCATCACTTTTGTTCTCTAAATCTTGTTGTGTAATCATGAGCAAAAAAGGTTGCAGCAGTTCTACCCACAGATTCAAGATAGGACTTTTTATGCAAGGCTGTTCACATTCCGGGGTTGTTACTGACTGGAAGTTCTCTTGGAGGAGATAAGATCTGTTACACGTCTCCTGCAGATGTTGCGCCGATGTCATCAACATGGCTGACCCAAGCCGTTTTCCAGCAGTTGGCAAATTGAAAATTTCATGGGAGTGACATCACTGGTCTACATGTTATAGGGAATGGCATTTCTTAGTTCACTTAACGGAAACAACATTAACACTACTATGTTTGATCTCACAATGTTGGGTGATAAACATATGTTATTTATGTCATTTTTAGGAGCCAGGCAATAACAATCTGTATCTACAGGTGTAGAGAGTGATTTTAGACCAGAGATTATATTATCTATGAATATTTAATGTAAGGCTTTTGCATACAGGAAGGGGGTTCTCTTTTTTTTCTACAGTGGCTTAAAGTCTTTGAACAGCATTTAGAAAGGATACACTTAAAAGGTGGGAATTATGGATGTTATACCCCACTTCCGGTCTCGTTGCCATTGTTTCCTTTGTTAAAAGTGTAGGTGTATTGACCGGTACACCTGTCAAAAGTGTAGGTGTTTCAATGATACACCTACACTTTTTCACAAATTGTCGTAATTCATTTTCATTGACGAGCTCACCAAAACGGCGGTTGTCTTGATCAGTTGTTAACTTCAAATCTTCCTTATCATCCAGGTCGAAATGTGACGCTAACGAACTGTCAATTTGAGAAAGAAAATCCTCTGTCCACTCTTCAGCATCCATGGCCGACGAACGTGTGATCTTCCAAATGTTTTCTATGCCACATGCGAGTCAGAGAACGCATGCGCATTGGTCTGCCCATACAAATGTCAATTATCAGTAATATTACGCATATTTGGGGCTACTTGAAATGATTCTCGCGCCCGAACTGGTTTTTAAAATTGTGTGAAATCGTGCAAGCCTGTGCAATCGACTGCTTATAGTCTGTTTGCAGTGAAAACGTACCGATGAATATCACTTAAAAAAAGTAAATCAAATAAAGTGAAACTAAGATTGCAAATCTTACCTTGCCTATTGAACATTTAAATCTCATAATTATATTCTGCTTAGGATAAAAGTTGTTTAACAAACGATCATAGCTTCAAAGCGCTGTTATTGGTTTGTATTACAAGGGGGTATCGCATTAAATGAAACACAGAGAACATGTAGGTTTGGTCGAAGTTAACGCTCATTACGTACCACACGGGCATTTGTTTCACTGTTCCAACTACTGCGCTTACCCCCTTAAAATTGTAATACAAACCAATAATATTGATTTGAAACTATGATCATTTGTTAAACAAATTTTATTCTAAGTTGAATATTATTCTGAGATGTTCATTTGGCAAGGTCAAATTATGAGATTCGCAATCTTAATTTCACTTTATATTATTTGATTACTTTTTTGTTTAAAGTGAAATTGATCAGTACGTTTTCACTGCAAACAGACTAAAGACCCTCAAATGTCCCGCGTCTAAACCAGTGGGCTAAAAATAAATGAAACAGATGGAAAACAAATACATTTTTTGTCATTCTTAGAATATAAAGTGTTATAGTAAACTCGTAACTCGACCAGAAGTGAGGTATAAGACAGATGTACCCACACTCCCTCGGTGTGTCACTCAATACCCCTACTGTTTGAGTCAGGTGGTCTCCTCGGCTAGTGCCTCGGAGGCCACACGACTCAAACAGTAGGGGTATTGAGCGACACACCTCGGTAAGTGTGGGTATATCTAATACTTAACTTCTTTACGATGAGGAACATACAGTTCTAGAGTATATGCTTACTCCTTCAACAGGTCATTACCCTGATGAAGGAGTAAGAATAAACTCCAAAAGTTGCGTTACTCATAATAAAGAAGTTGACATCCTAATTTCTCACCATTTAAGTACACTGGTTGCAAGTACAGTCTTTAACAGAACCACTTCCCCTATATCTTTTGGTACATTTCAAATGTAAAGTGAGTGAGTGAGTGATTTTAGTTTTACGCCACACTCAGCAATATTCCAGCGGTCTGTAAATAATCGAGTCTGGACCAGACAATCCAGTCATCAACAGTATGAGCATCGATCTGCGCAATTGGGAACCGATGACGTGTCAACCACGTCAGCGAGCCTGACCATCCGATCCCATTAGTCACCTCTTATGACAAGCATGGGTTACTGAAGATAAATATTCTAACTTGGACGCTCACAGGTTTCGAATGTAAAGAATATTTTCAAATGTGTTGTTTTGAATGGCATTGATAGTTGTTGTTGGAGAGTCAGGTACAATGGTTTTAAAGACACTCCAACTGTTGAGGTCCATGCTTCTATACAGTGTTTTTTGGTGTATATGAATTACTTTTGTGCTTTTCATATAAGATAATGAGAAACATAATATAATATGTGTAATAATGCAATAGTTTGTTGGAATAGGTTTGAGGCAGACAAACTGAAGCAGTGTGTGAAATGTCGCCCACATGCTCACCCGTGGCTAGAGATTCTAAAATGTCCAACTGTCTAATGAAATTGCTGATGGTGACTTTGTTAAGCACCCTTAAAAAGTTCTCGTTTCTGTAGGCCAATACAACCATCAAAATGCAATTAATATCTATAGAGAATCAGAGATGAGAGATCAGATTTGCCACATTCATATTTGACTCATTATTTGCAGTTTGGGTTTACAATATTGGTAGCTTTGTAGATTAACTTTTCCGGAAAAAAACACTGTCACATGCGTAAGCTTGAAGAATTGGAAACTGGCTATTACATCTAACGGCTTGGCCAGCAACTTTTGGGGGGCATTTTCCACACTAGCCTGAGCTAATGCTTCATTGAGCAGTATGCAGTACTCCAGCTCTATCACAAACCAGTGGTTGATAGTATGATGATTGGTCAGTTACCACCATTCTGTAACAGGTGCTACAAGGGACCTATTGACACAGCAATTTCCATGTCTGTACTGATGTAGAAAACCAAGAGAACATTTGAGCCATAGAAAGGGATACTAATGTTTTGCACAATGTTGTGAAATTTGAAGGAAAGCAATTTATAGATATGTACTTTATTTGTTTATTTAAATTTGAAATGAAACTGAAGTCGTTGGTTCCATGGTGACATTAAATAAGATGTGTGATGAAACCTCTGACAAACACTATGCCCATCAAAAGTTAAATAGTAGGTTACTTCCATCCACATATAACTAATGAATATATCAATGATTTAATAACAAACAATACAAATCATCTTCCAATAATAAAAAGTTTATTGACTAAGATTTATCTGCATGTACAAGATATTGTAGCTAATGGGATCACATTGGTGGGCCTTCAAGCCACAGGAGGACATGATTGCATATATTCTACAGTCATTCTGTTGTGTTACAGTACACATAGAAGCACACAGGCAAAAACAGTCCAGAATCATGCTGACAAAATACCTACCTCCACTGGAAGACGTGGCCACACACTCCAGTTCTAACTTATGATATTATGATCTCAATTCAATTCCTTGACAGATTCTAAGATAACTTTGGTATCAGGTTGGTGTCTGTTCTGGGAAGAAGTCCTTTCCTGCCCAAGTCGTGGGGAAAGTGTATGGGAGAGTGATTTATGATTCAGGATTAATATGGCATTCAATGCCTGATTATTTCTTCACCATGTTAAATATGTTTTGTAATGACCGAGAACAGTGGTTTGTAAAATATGCAAACAATACACATCAAGGCAAATAAATAAGACATGACAATCTGTAACAAAACAAGCTAGAAGAAAGAACGGCAACAGATTTCCAAGTATTTTAAAGATTTCAGTTTTGCCGTTATAACAAAGAAACCTTGATGCATGTTGTATGACCAGGAACCAAGGTGTCTGTAGACTTAAAAATACATATAACACAAGCAGATATATTACTTGGGTGTGAATAGCACCAGAGAAATATACAGAAATGATGTCTATATAATAGACTAATTTTTTTCAACAATACATACATGTACTACTTTATAGCACTGTAACACGGTAGGGGGTGTTGCGATACCATATGAACTGCCCTACAAGGTGTGTGATATGGTACATATTGCCTACAAAGATTACTATACTACATGCATCATGAGACATCCTATTGATAACTGTGGTTTGCAAAATGAAGGAATATGCCATAAGCACAACTTTGGGCATCATTCTGAACCAATCGCAATGGTGTCATCACAATAATCCTCATTGCAGCAGCTATGTAGTACATACCGTATCGGTACACCCCTATTCATTCCCTATTCGTGGAGAATAAAGTTAGTATATACATTACCAACCTTGTGCAGTGTTAACATTTGCAGTCAACTGATAACAGTGGCCGGCAAATTACGTCAGCTGTCTATATATGTTTATAGAAAGGGCATAATAAGTTGGACAACCTTTGCCCAATCCTTTTGACCTTTTAGTGTCAATAACATATGTTTAAAAACAAAACTGATAAGTATGTACAGGTTGAACAGATATGAAGACAAAGCTTTCATATTTACTGCCAGCTTCGGGAAATAGAAATTATTTTTGTTGATTCTTTACTCTTGAGTAGTCAACTTCTTGTTCCAAGTAAAACATTTATTATGAAATTTTATGCACTAATTCTGAATCTGACCTCTGCTTTGTCTTCAGATCAGTTGTGTAGCAGATAGTATTCAGCCCTGAATCCATATATGGAAGATATAATACAGGTGTAACAGACAGGTTATATATACAGAGTTTAAGACTAGATTTGAAGGCATAGCATACGGACATAGTAATCATATGATTAACACTTTCTGAAGAATGAAATATGAATTCGTCTTCCCTATATTTAATTGACAGTTTCCCTAATCATTGACAATTCTAATAAAATGGAAACATAAAATGGAGAACTGCACAAAAATCAAACTTTGTTATTCTACGTAGCGCATCACTCAATCTAAACATCAGCCTCTAAGTTTCAGTCCTTGATATTATCCTGTTGATATGTTTAAAATTTGAACCCACGACGAAAAAGTGTAAAATATTCGATAAACAATTTTCAGCGAAAGCAAATCCATGACTTTCAGAAAAAAGTAAAAATGTCAAAACCAAGTATTTTACACACTGTCCACTGGCGCGCACAATATGTCACCTTCAACTGACTGGCAGAGATAAATAAATTATAAATATATTTCTGTCATCCGGTCTCCTTTTCACTCGCACATCACTAAAGCAACATCAAGCCAGTTGAGAGATTCCTAGGCCACCTACTGTCTAATTATGCATTCACCTTGCATCCATAAGGGATAGGTAACAATGTAGCAAGTTGGTTATCATTATGTTTAAGGAAAACATAACTGAATGCAGCTGCACCAACCTTACAGAAGCAGTTGTCTTGATAACATCACAAGGTATTCACCATCCTCCTAATGGTAATGTATCGAGAAGTTGTACATCCATATGTTTGGCAGTGGGGATTTGACACTGTAAATTTGCATATGCAGATCGCAATGTCAGATTTTGGTATTGCTGCCTGTTGGATGGAATAGTGTTCTGTTTGGCTATGTTTCGATAAAATCTGCACACTTGTCGAAATAGGTGACATCCCGTAAGATCTGTGGAGTTGAGATGTGAAGCAGATGGTGTAAACATCCTTGGGACTCCGATACAGTGCACGTTCTCCTCGGGAGGTGTCTTCTCCCCTGTCCCATTGTTACCCATCCCTTGGTTGTGGTATGTAGTTAGCGTCCACACTCAGGGCACACAATGTCGTCGCCGTTCATCAAGAAGCCACGACCGACCATGGAGGCGTTGCATTTGTAGCATACAAAGCAGTCACTGTGCCAGTGACGTTCCTCGAAAGAAATGAACTTTGTACCACCAATACCTGCAACACAAGCAGCTACTGTCAATACTGGTAAACGAAACTTTAGTTTCACTTTATGCAAATATTTTGTTTGGCACATTTAACTCTTTCTTATTTCAACATTTATATACAAAGTATATGCTGATAAATGTAGGTCTGTTCTTAATCTGATTATGTTATAACGTCTTCATTTACAGTGATTTTCGGATTGAAACCTCTCACATTTATCTGACAATAAGATATTCATCCATATATCAGGGATGGCAGTGGGGTGGAAACTTTTCAGTGCAAATGCTGGCCAAAATCCAAATGGTTTTCCAGTCAGCAAAATTAAATTAATCAGCAAATATCTATCAGTTTTAACGGATGTTGATGTGTAACAACTCTTACAAATGAAGCATTTAACACAAATAGTTTCCTTAAAAATTGCAAGTCAAAAGGGGAAATTCTTCTCATAGCACATTCAGGTAAACAAAAATAGCCTTTTTGTCAACAGGAAGTTGTAATGTTAGTTAATTGATCATTTATAATGTCAGTGAATATGACAGTTTTATAATAGTTTGTAAATCTAAACTCCGTAAGTTCCATTCTGTACTTTGTGCATGTGTCTTATAAACTCACCTGTGATTGGCTGTGTGCAACGACAGCACTTCTTGGCGAACAGTTGACCGTAGCAGTCTCCGCAGAATGGTTTCTCGTCCCTGGATGTGAACTTCTCTCCAGACAGCATCTTGTCACAGTTGGTGCAGGTGAAGCACTCCTTGTGCCATGGTGTGCCCTTGTAGGCAATTCCACCCTTGTTGATCACCTGGACACATACAACATGAATGATCAACACAGGTTCGCCAACCTCTCTGTACTTAGTGTCAGCATCTACAGAAAAACACTACAGGTACTATATTAGGCACCATTGCCTGCTGTCGGAAGTTTTTGAGGTGAGGTGAAATGGGGTTTAACATCGTACTTAAGAATATTTTGCTCATATGACGATGTGGATGTGTGTATGTGTGGCTGGTTGTACTAGCCCAGACTTAAGCTGACTTTATAGTGCTAGCTCACTGAGATACCATGCCACAGTTGAACATGAATACCCCACTCAGACACATACTGACTCCAAGCCAACCAGTCCTTATTGAACCCATTAATGCCGAGTGCCAGGCAGGGACCAACAAGTACCATATTTTAACGTCTTTTGGTATGACGCGGCTGGGGATCGAACCCACAACCTTCCACTCTCCAGGCAGACGCTCTGACCAATACACCATGGGGCGGTACCAGAAGTTTTTAAGTCAGTTGTTAAAGTCCCTAGTGTAATTCAGAGATTGCCTTCATTACATAAAGACAACAGCTGGAAGCTGGCAGGTCCAAGACCTTGGTCAAAAGAGAGGGCAAATATATTTCAGACATATCAATCAAATGCCCTGAAATTCCTCTTGTTGGCAGCTTTCACGGTATTGCTTGAAGTTCTTATACTTTTTATGTCCAGATGTTACCATTTCGTTCAATGACTGACTGAGTTTAGTTTTACGCCGCTTTTAGCAATATTCCAGCAATATCACCGCTGGGGACACCAGAAATGGGCTTAACACATTGTGCCCATTTTGGGAATCGAACCGGGCCTTTTTATCACTAGGCTACCCCACCGCCCCTCGTTCAATGAATTGGTAGCACACTGTTTACATCCAAACAAAACCTTGACCTTGACATATTATTACATATCCACATGGGTAATCATAAACTGATTTCTTGATCAAGGCAATCTTAGAACTACTCCCTGCATCAGCTGTGGAACCAAGATTGCTTTGTGACACAAGGCAAGGGCAAGGACTGACCAGTAAACAACTTACCCCAGCACACTTTGTACACCTCTGTGCATAGTTGGCCTCGTAGCATGGGACGCAGATGACGAGTTCGTCCCGAGGGATGAAGCTCATGTTGCCGATGGGCTGTTTACACTCACTGCAGGTGAAGCAGTTGTCATGCCATTGCTGGCCCTTGTACTCAAACTTCTTCATACCTGGAACATGAACAACACCATGAGTGTCCACAATGCTGTGGTGGTTCACGGTAGCATCTCAACTACCATATTCTTTTCATAAGAGTGAGTGAGTTGGGTTTTATGCCCGCTTTTAGCAATATTCCAGCAATATCATGGCGGGGACACCAGAAAATGGGCTTCACACATTGTGCCCATGTGGGGAATCGAACCCAGGTCTTCGGCGTGACGAGCCGACGCTTTAACCATTAGGCTACCCCACCGCCCCTTTTTCATAAGAGACAGTCCCCATCTACCTGGATTGTTGACTGTACAACCAAGAGTTTAACTGGTCCAGGTTCTAATTTATAAATGGTGTTAAAATATTGTTGACAGTTTGATGAAATGTTCATTCACACACAAGGTATGTTTATAAAATTCACTCCCATAAGTTTCAGGCAATGACCATATGGAAAATTCCAAACATCAGGAACCGTCACAACACATCTAAGGGCTGGAATAGTTACTGAAGGATATTCTTGAGGACTGTCTGTATTAAGTACTGACTGCACTAAAAGAAGTCGCGAGCACAGAATATTGAATATTGTTTAGAACTCCCATTGGTATCTGGATACGTACAGGTACCATATCTAACCATTTTGTCATGAAATATCATCAGCTAGCCTTCAAGTTTGGGGTTTCAAGTATTTTAAGGAACTACCATCTCGTCTTCCAAAACTGCTATTATTTTTGTTTTAATCTGGAACCTTCAAATGTCACTTCAGTGAAACAATATAGACATATGGGAAGGTAAAGGTTTAAGATAGAGATGGCTATGCACACTAATGAAAATATTAGCCTTGTAGACAGTGATGTAAGAATGTGGTGCAAATTCTACAGTACACATTGGCAGCATCTACCCAGTCGTGACATACAGAACGGCTAATGAATGTTGCCTTATTCTAAGGGCAACTATCTAACGTTGCACCATGTCAACAACATGGCACCATGAAGTTTTTTTTCTGAGACAAAACATAAAAAGAACCCCAAAGACAAACACTATTTTTTTCAACTTCGGCAGGCTCTGCCAGTGTTCTTAACTCCCAGTTGCAGTATAGACAGGGTACATAAATTCTGAGAGACGCATAAAAGATGCATACAGTAATAGATACATAGAATTATCTTGATCTTTTCCCGAGGCCAATATTCGGCTCTAAGTTAGAAGCAAATGTCAGTAACAATTCCCAAATTGGAACTTGCCAAGTCCTGTTAACTGATAGTACTGCTTTGTTGAGGTGATTGTTGCAGTTCACTGATAACAGGACCAATAAACAAGAAGCTGGATTGTTTCGTTTCTTTTTTTACACATTGAATGAAAAGATTAAAGACCCATTAATTCATGATAATTAGGATTATAATGATAAAATATCATATAAAATTAAGATAAAATATCACCCCCAAAAATCACAATATTTTCATTAAATGATCGGGTTTTTTTTCTTAATTTGTGGTGTTACCTACCTCCCTTAAAGGGCTGTTGGCAGCCATCACACCGAGCAGCAAAGTTTTCATCATGGCAGTCTGCACAGTAGATGGCATTGTTTTTGGGGGCAAATGGCTGATCCACCAGCGACTTCTGACAGCTCACACATTTGAAACATTCCTCGTGCCAGTGGTAGTCCTTATATGACAGATCCTGAAACAATACAACAGAAACATGTCATTCTCGTTACACACCACTGTCAAATGTCAAATGACATCAGAAACTTGTCATGTCATCCACTGTTGTATTTGGTTCTCAAGGACCAAGTTCTAATAACTGTTCACTCACTAATGCATGCATCTATATGATGGACATTAACTGCTAATCTACTGATATCTATTGATACCTGATGAACTGTATTTGCCTTAAGCGCCCTGGACACTCAGGAAAATTGACAAAGGGGTTCTCAGCATACACAAATATTCAAATCTGATAAATTGTTGTAAAGAACAAACTATATAAAACATCAGCAGAACTTTTTTGTACAAGGGTACTTATGCAGCAAGGTGCTATATACAATATATACCACACTTGTATTTTGTGTGCATCCCATTGGTTGTTATAATCTGCTGTCTGCCGTTTCCAAGGTTACGGGTCCACACATCTTAGAAGTACTGTAACTGGGTTACTCCATTATGTTAAGCATTTATTTCAGAATCCAACGCAGAAGTCCAGGCTTTGATGTGATTTGTGTTGAGAAGGTTATTTAATACATCCTTGAACACAGGCTATGCTGTATTTGATGATGATAGGAACTACTTATCATGATAAGAAATGAGTGAGTTCAGTATAAATGTCTTCAAATATATTAGATAACTTTGATAACATCCCCACCAACAACAGATCATAGTGGAGCTGAAGGGGTCGTTGTCGGCACGGGTACCCCAGGTGGCCATAATGAGAATACAGAAACGTACCCTAGGACGATTCCATTCCCATTGTGTCGTATTCTTGATCGGAATTGTTAGGCTGTTGTATTAGATACATTTGATTGCTTTATGTAAGAAATGAGAATACACAGTAACGGATATTTCGCGATGCATATGAATACCAATGGCAATCAGTTGAACGGGAACAACTACATGCGATTTTGGTTTTGGATTGCGGAATATAGACTCGTCCGCCTTTTAGGGTACCAGGTACGTTTCTGTATTTTGACTTTGTTTAGGGTACATATCTGTATACAGAAATGTACCTGGGGTACATATCTGTAGTACCTGTGCCGACAACGACCTCTTCAGCCATAGTGGAGTCAATCAAAGGTAAGGAGATGTTATAATACAACAACTGATCAAACAAAGAACTGAATTCAGTAAGTCTGGGAATAACTTCATTATCGATTCTTTATTAATACACTGCAAAAAGCATGCTCAAGACAACAAATACTTCATGATAGAAAACAACTACCAGTATTATCAATTGCTATTCAAATTCTTATCTGTTTGTTAAAAATGTCAGAGGTAATTTTCGCAAGCTGTACCTTTTTTTTTCACAGTAAATTGTTTGTGTACAAACATTGCATTGACTCTGAAACAAAGTCTATAGACCGTACTGTTTATTATAAAACAGATCTGGGCAAAAGGAATTTTCATTTTCTAACTTCTTAACCTAAATCTGTTTGGCTTTGTTTGGGAAAAGGGTGAAGGAATCATTACAAAACACTTCCTTCTAGAAAAAACACCTCAGCAATTTATAACGCATTAAGTTTTAGGAAACCACAAAGCTGAAGGCATTATGGCTTGTCATTTCCCAAGCTCTCCACATAATCACTCCAACACACTCATGTCCCTGCTCACGAACAACACATGTTGGCAATATCACAGACTGACTGCAGCCTCTGCTACAAGTCTGCCATCATATGTTGTGGTGAGGTACCTCTGTTATAACTGATAACAGGAACATCAGAGTTTAGGCAATTGTTCACTCTAGAGCTATTAAACACAGGAGATGATGTATGTTAACAATATAGAAAGGGTTTAAACCTTCAGAAGATGGGTAAAGAATAGACTGGAGAAACACTGGCTTTAGAGTTTCATGGTGTCGCCATGTGGAAAGTGTACATAACAGTTTAAACCAAGGTCAGCTATGTTCTCTAACCATAAATAACTAAAAAACGTACAAGTATTTCAATCACCACCTCCGTGGTGTAGTGGTTAGAGCGTCATCCCAGAGAGCGGAAGGTGGCGAGTGCGATCCCCGACCGCGTCATACCAAAAGACGTTAAAATATGGTACTTGTTGGTCCCTGCCTGGCGCTTCGGCATAAATGGGTACAACAAGGACTGGTCGGCTCGGAGTCAGTATAATGTGTCTGAGTGGGGTATTCATGCTTCACTGCGGCATGGTATCTCAGTGGGCTAGAACTATGAAGCCAGCTTACGTCTGGGCTAGTACAAGCAGCCGCACATACACACACATGCACGTCGTCATATGAGCAAAATATTCTCAAGCACGACGTTAAACCCAATTTCACCTCACCTCACAAGTATTTAAAAACAGTGTTCACTGTTGTAGGCAGTGGGGTGATATGAACTAGATGCCTACTTTGTTGTAGGCAGTGGGATATGAACTAGATGCCTACTTTGTTGTAGGCAGTGGGATATGAGCTAGATGACTACTTTGTTGTAGGCAGTGGGATGATATGAGCTAGATGACTACTTTGTTGTAGGCAGTGGGATGAAATGAACGAGATGACTACTTTGTTGTAGGCAGTGAGTGAGCGAGTTTAGTTTTACGCCGCACTCAGCAATATTCCATCTATATAGCGGCGGTCTGTAAAAAATCGAGTCTGGACCAGGCAATCCAGTGATCAACAGCATGAGCATCGATCTGCGCAAATGGGAACCGATGACATGTGTGAACCAAGTCAGTTAGCCTGACCACCTGATCCCGTTAGTTGCCTCTTACGACAAGCATGGGTTACTGAAGGTTCATTCTAACCCGGACCTTCACGGGTCATTGTAGGCAGTGGGATGATATGAACTATATGACTACATTGTTGGGTCACTGGGATTAATTTATTACATGCAGTACATAGTTGAGAATATAGGTACCTGGAAGAATGCACTAGAGAACGTATATGACATTTAACAGGCCTGGAAAGTAACATGCTCAGTCTGTGAATCATGCTCATGGAACTATGAGACTACAAATATAAGTTAAAAATTCTTCTAAATTTATTATCTTTCTAGAAGGTGTAGGAGAACTGCTTTACATGCACTGTTCATCCTCTGTAGAAATGTTGTAGACATTTCTCTGGTGAACAATGAATAAATAATGACAACAGGCAAACCAGACGGTATAAAACCGCCATCTCTTGAACCAAACAATATCACTGACTCTCATAAATGAGCTCATATATAGAGCAGGCACAAGTTCCCGGCAAGACAGGTTTGAAAACTGTCAGTACTCGTGCAAACTTCCTCATGCAATTTAGAAGTTTTTAGTTTATTAACGACAACTCCTGGCGTCAAGCTGAGAAATTTCAAGATAAACCATATGTGAATCTGAGGTATTTTGACACAAAATGCTGAGAAGGAGAGTCCCAGGGTAATGATATTTGGAATAATGTGTCTGAATATTGTCAGACCTCCACGAACACAGAGCAAGATGTGTGTACAGTTATATATATCCACAGAAAGATACAGTTTCTTTTATATTGATCCCCACTGTCAGATGTTTCCCAAGGGTAGACAAACATGCAACAAACATTTTGTGAACCCACTAGGTACCTGACAATTGAAATGAATATTTTTTTAAACCTGAACAATATTTAAAACAAGGTAATATAAAATCTAAACAAATTCTGTATTGCTGTCTGTGACTTTAGCCTCTAGTCTGTAGCCTGAGTCTTGTTTGATGTTTGCTAAAACTAAAATCTCCTGAAAATACAACTGAAATTAGACTTGCACAAGTTTCTAAGGTAATAAAAGTTTTAATGAAAATTTCTAAAAAATAAATAAATAACAGACTGGCATCCTTCTGTCCGCTTAACCTAGACTTGCCTCTTCAAAGGATAGAATTACTATACATCCATGGGCTTTACTAAGCACTTCAGTACAGCATTGGATCAAGGCCAGGCTAAATATATACGTGATGTTGTAGACTTAAAGGTTTTGGCACAGTACTCCTATGGTCTAATCTTGACTCTGGTTTGTCTCGATTATGATGATGACACTGAAGTCAAAGAGATTTCACTGTACAGTTTATCTATACCTGTTTTATCCAATTCTATAGTGGATGTTCAATTTGTGCTCCAAACTGTCTTAATTTAAAAACATATTTCCTTGTAACTGATTAGTTCCAGGTTATAGGTAACATTAGTTAGCTATGTGGTCAGAGGTCAGAGGTGACAGAGGTCATCCTAAACAAACATGGAGGATGTAAATAGTGTGAGTTGTTACTTTTCGCACCATGGCTGCAAGATCCACATCCAACTGCTGGGTAGTGATGTGCCAACACCAGGCTTATACAGCCGTACACACTACCTACAATTAGAAGGGAGGGACTGAATACAGATTTCATTTAGTGTTCAATTAATCAAGGCCTGCCAATAATGTTGTGATACTAGATCCCCATTTGAGTCTGTTCTTAAGATATTAGAATGAGATTATGGTAAGTTGCCGTACACAAAATGAGGTGTGTTGAAAAAGAACAGAGGTTGATATAATGAGCACAATGCCACAAAACCAGCCATGCCACACACTGTAAACATAAGATCCTTGTTTGTCAGCTCTCTCAGTAATAAGGCACAATTCTTCCAAGCATGGGGTGACACCCATTGACTTCCTACGTAGGGTAATGGCACCTTTTTCTGCCCTGTACTCCTCCAGGGTAGTAGAGCAGGTGTAGAGGATCACTGTGCAGCCATCTCCACCAGGATCTTACTTCACATCATTCCCACTTCCTCCAGGAGACAGGTTTGCTCCCCGTGAGACATAACCTTACCACTGATGCCAAAGATGGACAAGATCTGTCAGTGGAACAATGCCGACAAGAATCTGTGAAGTATCAGTGTTATTTACATGGACAAAATGCGTAATCCTTGGATGAAGACTGATCCACTTACAGAGCCAGTTGTTCTTGTGAATGAACAGGTGAAGAGCATAGGATCAACAAAAACAACTCAACACACCACTGAACTGTGGATTGGTG